GCACACAGCGGGACACCAGCTCACACACCTGCGCTGGAGTGAGCGTGAAAGCTGACAGCTGTGTGCGAGCGTGTGCACCTGTAAAGCCGGCAGGTATTTGGGCAGCTCTCTCTTCAGCTCTACGGGCGAGATGGGCGGCGATTCGGGGACGTAGTTGTCTTCTGGAGTGGCTGAATGAGAGGGAGACTGTGGGGTGACGTCTCCCGCCTCCTCGGCTCCCTCTTCTTCCTCTTCCTCACCGCTCACCTCCGAGTCATGATCGAACCGGGACTCTGGAACTGTCACAGCAACACGACACATAGCACACACAGACTAATGCGAAAGATATTTGATGGGAGTAAACTATCATATCAAATTATACCTTTAAAGTCACAAAAAAATAAAGCACTGTTGATGAAATGCTCACTGGGAGGAATGTGGTTTCCATTCTCTCTGTCCTCTTCTTCCTCCTCTGACTGTTCTTCATCACTCATGGCAGCTGAGAAAGATAAAGTACGTACACATAGGAAAGTGCATAATAATTCATGCACTCTACACATACATGTGTGATGGTTATAATGCTCAGCGCTGCAAAAACAACACCATTCTTTGATGCAACCTGAATAGTTCTAAATGTAATGCTGCAATCAACGCTTTCATTCATTTTTACATTTCACTTTAATCATGACAGTCGTAACAGATTCAGTTTAATTGTACACTGTACACAATCTTGAAATCGGTGGGCATTTTTGTTCATTTGGGTGGCAGTCCCTGTTAATTCCCAACCCTGATCAACAAAAGTTATAAATAAACTGAATATAAAAAGAAAGAAGAAATTCCATGATGACTGATCTACATTCATTACTCAAATCAGCTGTAAACAGCAGCGAACACACACACTTTCTACAGTGGAAATCAGATATCATTCTGAGTATGGGATCCTTGCCACTGTTGCCTTTGACTAGCTTAGTTGTTTTTTTTTTAGACACTTAATATTCAGCAATATCACTGAAACTATCAGGTGACAACAAAACCTGAACTGAGCTGAGCTGGATGCTTTGGTACTGTTTTTGAGTCATTTTGTTGAACAAAAACACAGAGAGAACCACAGAAAAACAGACTGAACTAAATCAGAAGATCTATTCAATATAGTTTGTGTGTGTGTGAGTGAGTGTGTGCGCGTGTGTGTGTGTGAGTGTGTGCGTGAGTGAGTGTGTGCGTGTGTGTGTGTGTGTGAGTGAGTGTGTGCGTGTGTGTGTGTGTG